TTTCTGGATGTTATGTCCCTAACAGCATCTCTCCACACACTGGTATTCTCAAAAATTGGCTATTGCAATGCACTCTATGTGAGGCATCCTCTGAAGCTGACATGGAAGCTTCAAGTGGTTCAAAATGCCAGACGGATTGCCAGGGTGAAGAAATATGCTCATATCACCCTTATTCTGGGTAGCCTGCACTGCCTACCGGTCTCCTTCTGTGCTAGGTTTAAAGTGTTGGTTCTAACATACAAAGCCATAAACAGTTTGGGACCTCACTACTTGTCTGAAGTTTGACTGCCTATCCGACCAGGTCCACACAGAACCCTGGTCATTCAATTGCTAGTTTTCTGGGACCCAGTATGTCAGCATACTTTAGCTTACAGCTTTTTCTGCTAGTAACTAATATTTAAGGGAAACACTTAAAATTTTTGGAAGCTTGGGGTAGGCTATGTGTAAAACCTGCAAAGTCAACACACAGTGGTCTCATGGGGAAGGGTATGTGGTCACTTAGAAAAACCCCAGGTCTTTCTTCTTTGGTAGAAGCTGTCCAAAATTTCATGCAGGATTCAAAACCGCATTCATGGAAATCCCAAGAAGCGAACATAGAATCGACTTCATGAAAAGCATGTGCGCTAGTTTAAACTACAGACTTTCCTGTCAAATACACAATTCTGGACCAAGATTCTCAATTGCAAATAACCAGACCTTTCCTCTCACTTTTACAGGTGGCCTCTTACCTGTCCCACATGCGACTACCATCCTCTTCCAGTCATGATCTGCTAAACGACAGGATGATGGTCCAGTTCAACCGATGGAGGTGAAGCTTTAAGCCAAGTGTGTTTTCCTTTCCTCCTGATGTGTTGGAAACCTTGATGAAATGATAGGGAAGACTTGGGCCTCAAGAGTGTAGCTGTAGGCATTCAGCTCTAAGCCAAAGAGGAATGCTTGAGAAATTCAAGCTTTTCAAATTTTGACCTGATCTTCTCAAGCAGACCGGAGGACTCCGGGAATGTTGTTGTCCAAAAAAACCCATACACCACACATTGCCAAGCTCTGTATCAGCCTGTTTCTTCCAATGTCAAGTCACATGTGTGTAAGTCCATAACTTGTTCATGATGCTGTAGGGGTTGTGAAGTCAGTGTGCTATCTTGAAACTGACTCAAGCTGTGCTGTTCCAAAGGTCTACTGCAGTGGTGCTTTTTATGTGATGGAAACGTATGCCACAAGCTTTTCGAATTAAAGCTCTAATGCTGTGATTTCTTGCTAACTGGAAAGCAGAGCAATCGGTTGTTTACAGTGGGAAGGCTGTTGAACTTTGATCCAGGCAGACTGACCTCAGTTTTACCCATCTGTAGAACATGGCAGAGTAGCGGCTGCCATGTATGATGACTTTACTACTATCATTTGTGTGATGCATGCTCAGTAATACCAAAAATAACAATGTTTATGGAGAAGAGATGGTCATTAGTCTGCATTCTCCTGGGCTCAGGACTAAAAAGGATTTGAGCAGGTAGCTGGTCAGTTTATTTGCTACCCTTTCAAATGGATGGAAATAAAACTAAGCCGGATGTTTTTACGGATTGATCCCCTTGTGTGTTTTGCAGCCAAACCCGAGTATATCGGGTCACAAGTGACATGAGGAGGGATGCGAAGCAAGAGAGGCTGGACAAAGTGAGGAACAGGTGGGCAACCAGGAGAAGCTTCTTGGACAAGAAGAGGCAATTGCCAAAAACAACGTTTTTGTTGCTTGCACGTGAGACATTGTTTTCCTCCTGCACTGTGAGAAGAACAACAAAACACTCTCCACAGTCCTTTTAAATGCCATCTTTCAAAACGAGCCCAAATTCTATAGATGTTTGCTTGTTTGTATAGGGTTTGTGTAACTTGCCATGGCTAATTGTGGCTAACTGAAGCAGTATTGAGGTGCATCTCAATTGCATAGTAAGGCACACAAGCTGGCAAGCAAGTGAACTTTTACTCCAGCACCTGGTCAATTAACCACAATTAATGGCAGCACATTGCAGAACCCTTTCATGAATTCTAATGCCAGTAACCTGTTTGTTTGCTTACATTTGCAGATTGTTACACTTGTTTCTGCCCCAGGGTGTATAGCAAACAGCTTCTGGAACTTGGGGAAAGTTTCAGAAGCAACTTCCCATATGCCATTGGCCATTGCTGGCAGAGTGGGAAAACAGTCTACCATTAAAGTTGAGGGAAAACCTAGAGTGGATTGCTATATGTTAATCTGAACTTTAGAATTATGCAAGGTCTGAAACATAACCTACCAAATGGATTCAGCACCTTGGCTAGCTCCTTTAAAATTCAAACTAATACAAGGGATCCACTGCTTCCATGATGTTGAAGTTACCAGCCACCATTATGGACACCTTTGCCTTCTGGTCACTGGATCCAGTTTTGCAGGAGAGTTTACATTTAAAAAAAAAACTCTCCTTTATCTTCTAGCATCTCCAGGGTCATGTTTGAAGCAATTAATGACGCTGACAGCAGCCAGTCCAGCACTAGTCTTCACACCTCAAACTCAATGTTTTAGACACGAGCAGGTAACAAAGCTTACTTCCAGCTAATCCTTCTTCTCCCCTTCCCTCTTTGTGTTGTCCACTTCCATTACCAAAATCTAAGTCTAGATTAGAAACAATAAAGAAGAACTGTGATTAGGGGCTCATGCCATTTATGTCTTGCTAATACACAACATTGTGGTGAAGTGATACCCTAGGGGGAAAGCCTGGTTCTTGACCTACTCATTCACAAATTAATGAAACAACATTTGATTGATAGATTGGCTTTCTTCCAATATGGGACCCAAACCAGCTCACAACTTCATTAAAACACACAGTATTAAAAAGGACAGTTAAGTGACTGCTGTGTTTTAAATACTATCAAGTTAAAACGTTTAAGAACAGTGGGGAAACAGAATCCATCTTTTCCCATTCAAAACCCCTTCCCCGGTAACCAGCGGGCTCCAAAAATCAGTTTGAATAGGAAAGATTTTGCTTGCCGAAGGAAGGAGAACAGCAAAGGGGCTTCCTTAGCTTTGCAGCAAAGCTTTTCCATAGTCTGGGAGCAGCTGCTGAAAA